CCAAGAAATGCCGCCGCGGCTGCCGCTGCCACTGCCACTACTGCGAATGCCGCCGCCACCAGCGCCGCCACCGCCGCCACCCCTGCCGCTGCCTCTGGCATTGCCAGCCACGCCCGCCGGCGCCGCCGCTGCTGCCACTGCTGCGCCAGCAGCCAGCCCCCCCACTGCTACCCCGCCTGCGCGACCGCGCCCGCCTCCGCCTCTGCCACCGCACACGCCTGCTGTGCCGCTGCCGCTGCCACTAGTTCGAGGCACCCAGCGCCCCCGCGCTCGCAGCGCCAACGCCGCAGCCCCCAGAACCTCTTCAACCCCAACCAGCGGCCGCAGCGCCAACGCCACAACCCCCCAGAGACATCCGACCCTGCGGCCTATGGTCAAGGCCTGAGGTCAGTCCTCGCGGGGCGCGCAGGAAAACGGGGGGTCTCTCTCTCTTTCTCTCTCTCACTCTCTCTCTTGTTCTTCTCTTGAAGAAAGCCACAAAAAGTGTAGGTCATCCCGGCCTTGTAAGACCACGCCCGCCCACTTTTTTTCCGGCCCGCAGAGCTAATCTCCTTGAAAATTGCGGGCATTTTTTTTTCGCGCCCGCAGTTCCGATGCCCCGAGGGGAAACTGTCGAGGGGATTGGGGCGTCTGCGCCCCTGTAGCCTCCATAGAGCCAAGGCCTTGGCGGATTTGAGGCTTGCGAGGAGGCCCTGGCACGATGGCGCCAGGGCGCTTAGGGCCTCATGGCCTTCACTCCTGGGAAGTTGCCGGGAGCCTGTTTCTCGGAATCTGCTGGTAATGTAGTGAAATGACACAATTCAGTGGAATGGAGCAGGCGAAATATGCCCAACCCTCCCAGATAAAATAATGTTAATGTAGTGAAATGGGGCATCCATGTTCTCACAATCTGTCCTTCTTGGGTTCAATTCCTGGTGGGGCCTGAGCAGCCTACATGAAGGGATGTGTTCTAGGGATGCCATTGTCATTGCGGGGGAAATCACTGTTGAAAGGATTCTGTGCAAGTAAGGCCGTTTACGTGTACTTAGAGCTTTGCATACTCAGGAATTCTGAAATTTAGAATTGCCACCGCCCCCATTGCGAAAGCCACCGCCACCGCTGCCGCCGCGGCCGCCATGCCAACCCTGCCGCTGCCTCTGGCATTGCCAACCAGGCCCACCACCGCCGCTGCTGCTGCGCCGACAGCCACCACCCCCCCACCCCCACCCCGGCGCGACCCAGCCATCCGCCGCCACTATCCAGCAAGCAAGCAAACGCGCCTGCCCCAGGCACGCCGCAGCCAATACCATCACCGCGGCCACCGCCCCCCCCCCCCTCCCGCCCCCCACCACTATCGCTGTCCCCGCCGCTGCTGTTGCCGCCCCAACCAAAGGCACCGCCGCCCACACCGCGACCGCTCCCACTGCCACTGGCTGCCCAGCCGCCACCACCTCGGCCGCCGCTTGTTTGAAGCACCCAGCGCCGCGGCTCCCAGTACCTTTTCAGCCCGAACAGCGGCCGCGCTCGCCGCAGCCGCTGTTGTCGCCACTGCCACCGCCCATGCAAAGCCACTACCAACACTGCGGCTACCACAGCCGCCCCCCCCCCCCCCCCCTCACGGCTGCGCTCACCGTTGCCGCCGCACTGCCACCGCGCACACCACCGCTACCCCCGCCACCGCTGCCACCGCCAACCCTGCCGCTGCCTCTGGCATTTCCAACCGGGCCCACCACCGCCGCCGCTGCTGCGCCGACAGCCACCACCCCCCGCCGCACCCCCACCCCCCCCCCACCACCACCACAACGACGACGACGACCACCACCACCACTACTAGAATAGGGGACGTGCCATAGAATAGGGCAATCATATGCCCTCCTTCCCCTGTATGTGCCGAATTGTAGTTAAATGGGGAATATTTCTTCCCATAATCTGACCTTCTTGGGTTCAATTCCTAATGGTGCCTTGGGGGTAATGGTTTCCCCGCGCCTGCCTCAGGGCGCGGCCCTGAGGCAGGCGCGGGGCCACGCATCTGGAAGCGGAAGCGGGGGCAACGCAAACAAAAGACAAAAAACCATCGAACAGCCGGGCTTGTAAGACCACGCCCGGCAGTCAGATTCATCGCCAGACCGTAGCAACTGAAGCCCGTCTATATTCGAAAGCGCTTGCGCCTAGACATTCACGGCGGACAGGTCCATGCGAATATATGCACATATGGGGAGCTCCACGCAGTGAATAATTTTCTGCGCATGGTCCCCGGTTGCTCTGCGCGCGTCTCGGGACTCGGTCCTCCGCTGGGATGAAAGCCTTCTTGCCAGTTGGAGCAGCCGTAGCAGCGCTGGAATCCTCGAAGGTGCGCGAGGGTAGTGCAACAATGGTACTAACCAAGTTGAAGCCACTCGGGGGGCGCATCGGGCTGACTGAGATGCAAGCTGGCACCGCTGCGCTCAATGCGAACCCAAGCGCTGGCCGAGCTGTGGGGTTCAGCGATGACGCCCCACTGCCAATGCCGGGCAGTTGTGATGGTGGAGGGGCTGAGGCACGGCTGCCTTCCCGGGTCTGCTAACCCCGTGCACCAGACCATCTGTCTCCCAGAAGACGGTGCCCGCGACGCAAGGTCACGCCTCATCGCGCCTGTGGGTGAGTTGGGCAAATTGCTGCGAGGTGCGCAGACCAGCCATAAGCACACCCTGTTCAAGGACTGGAGGGCGGTACCAAAGCGGAGGGTGAGAGGGGGTGCCAACGCGCGGCCGCATCGCGCTGTGCGCGTCTTCGTGGAGCCCCCAACTCCGCTTCCGACCGCCACTGCGGGAGCTGAGTGGCGGTGAGAAAGCACGGCGGGCGACAGTGCTGACCTGCTCTTACCACATTAGATGCATGCGCCCCAGAGCTGCGAACCAAGAAGATAGCGAGGCACCCTGTTCGAGCGAGACGGAAGGAGGAGGAGAAAAAGGAAAAGGAGGAAGAGGCGGAGAAGGAGGAGGAGCATTCCAGGGAGAATTCCAGCGTGAATGACAGCGGGAGTCATGAAGCGGAGGACTACACGGCAAGTCTGGAAAGCTCGGCCTCCACCGCGCGCTTTGGTGGGCCGCTCACGTTGGTGTAAAGGTCCCTCTGAATTCGCGCGAGAACCTGGGCACCTTTCGGGGGGGGGGGGGGGGGGGGGGGGGGGGCGGGAGGCGTGCACCGTCCAACGAGCCAGCGCGGGTCCGCGGTGGCCGACTCGCCACAAACCGAGCAAAACGTAAGACCGCCAGCCCCCAGAACTGAAGCTTGTGGGAGCTGCGCAACAACTTGCCCGCGACCATCTGCGGGCCGCCGAGAGGGAAAACGCCTGCGCCCACAGGGCGGGGCCGACGCTGGCCGCGGGCCCCCGCACGGATTGACTCGCGGGCTTCGCACTGAGAACACCGTCTGCGGAAGTACTTCAACCCGACCCGACCCTGCGCCATTCGCGGGCGCTGGCTCGGATGGCCCTGGCCAGGGGAGACAGCCGCGGCCCGCAGAGAGCGGCCGCGGGTCGACTCGCTGTCCGGGGATCGGCTAGGATGGACGCAGCTGAAGCACCCCCCCCCCTTTCCGTCGGGCGAGGGCCGCCTCTGCATCAACGCGGTCGGCGTCGGGGATGGGCCCGCGCGGCACTCGGCGCTGGGGCCCGCCTGGGGCCATGTCCCCGTTCAAACATCAGCGCGCGCATTGACTGCCACGAACTGGAGGTCACGATCGTTGTTAATTTGGTCCACGGCTATGTATGAGGGGACCCAAACTACCTTAATCTCTCTGCCCTCCGATGCGGCCGCAATCCTTGTCCAAAGGTCAGAGTTGGTCGGGCCCCCCCGCACGTGCAGACGAACTCCTTTGAACCAGACTTGGGCAAAGGGTCATGATCAGCACGGAAACGCAGCTTCCAAGCACCCTCTTTTGGGCGGAAGCGAACGCGGAAAGCTCGGCTCGAGGAACGGTCTGGACCCGACCCGCCAAGGAAGAAGAGAAACCGAAGACGGGGTCGAGGGCGCGGTCGCCGTTCCCGAGGGCAACAAAAACAAAGCCCACTCGACGTCGGCGGCGATCGTCGCTCTACTCGCCGCCAGAGCCATCTCCGAAAAACTCACGAAAGCCGAGCTCATCAACTGGGACCGACTCCAGCTCTCCAAACTCAGCGACGACTGCTTTTTTCCTCATCAATTGCAAGGACAATTGCGGCAGACGGCGGGGGGCCACGGAGCCACAGTGCAGGCGACGCTTCCTGAATATCCGTGATGATCATCGTGTAGTCACTGTCCATGTCCGCGAAGCTGCGGTCAGACGCCGACGGGATGAGCCAGCTCTTGCCCGCGACCGTGTCCCACTGGGTGGCCTCCACGGGGTCCCAGCGCAGCTCGAACAGCGTGGCGATCGTGGCTCTGACTGGGCCCTTCACCAAGCGCCACCTGCGCTGCCCCGCAGCGCGAAGCCGCTCGGCCAAACCGTGCCACACCTTGCAGATGCGCGGGTGCAGCTCGGGACAACGGCGCCAGAGGGTAAGCAAGGATCTGATCTGCTGTCTGCGGATGCTCTTCGCGGGGTCGTCCTCGCCGTACGCGATGGCGAATGCGGTGGTGAGACACCGTCCTGGTCCCGCGCCTGCCGCAGCGCGCCCAGCTTGGCGTCGGAGCCTCACCATCTCGTATGCCGGCACACCGTAGTGCTGACCGTAGGAACCTTGAGGGAACGAACCTGTGCTCCACAGCCCGCGGGAGATCCTCTGCAGTCGGGCAACCCTGCGAACCTTCTTGATGGCTGCCGCTCTCTTAGCCGCCTGTGCCATGCGCTGCCAACGCTTCCGTCGTGTGCGGGCACGACCTGAGGCCACGTCGGCACGCAGGTCGGTCGTCGTGGTGGCGGCGGTGGCGGGGATGCCCTGCTTCCTCAGGCCGCTGATGGAGGAGGAGGAGGAGGAGGAGGAGGAGCAGGAGGAGGAGCAGAAGGGGGGGGGCCCAAATCAGACGCGAAGGCGATGCGGCGCTGCGACGGCGGCGCGCCGCCTGCCGCGTCCTCCCGCGAGATGCCCGACAACTTGGCGATCCTCTGGCCGGCGGTGGGTGCGGGAACCGGCGCAGGAGGGGCCTGATGCCGCGAGCGCCCCGCAGGTGTTGAGTTTTGCCCCCACCCTCGAGGGTCGGGTCGGTGGGGGGTGGGGTGGGGAATTTGGTATCACTTTTGGCCCCCGTGGGGCCTGTGTGGGTGAGGCATCCGGGGACGGCGGCAAAATTTACCATCCAGCTCCGAAGGGACTCGAGACCGCGAGCGCCACGCAGCACGGATCCTGCGGGGCGATCGCGGAGTCGTGGGGGGGACAGGATCTGTCAGCATCAAGCCGGGAACTCAGATCGAGCCAGAATTTCCTCCTCTTCTGCTTCTGGTCCCCCTCATTGCCCTGCTACTCCTGTGCGCAAAGGTCGAAAAATCCAGAGCAAGATCAATCAACATCACATTCGCAAATCAAATCGACATTTGCGTCGGATCGGCCTGCATCAGCACGGAGTCGGAATCGAAGATCGGATCGGCCGCGCCAAGATGCACAACAACGCCATGCAAACATCGGGCCTCGTCGGATCGTCAAATGTTTGGATTCGAATCAGATCGGGCTGGCCTGAATCAATACCAAATCGGATCGATCGAATCAGAATCGGTCCTGGGGGGGGAGAACGCCCACGGGGTAAGCATCTTCCCCACGTGCCTTGCCAACCAGTATCGAGCTTATCCCTATTCCTGAGACGGACAGGCACAAAGCTTGCCAATATCAGGGGCACACCCTCAGAAATCAGGAGGGTCCTTAAGATCCTCGCCAAGATAAGGCGATGCCAAGTATAAGGATGGGGATGTGTTTCGGGCTGCAAGCTAGCCCCTATATCTTAGCCCTGACTGACTTTTCCATTGCTCCCACTCTTCAGGCGACAAAGTCCTTGGATTCCACGCCGTGATCTCTCCGGTCAAGTCCACACCTTGCCCGCTCAGGATTCGCAATTCTCTCGATCATGATGTACACGCAAATTCAGACTGCAACCGCCGCCTGGCATGCGCGGCAAACGATCGCACATAAATTTGCCTCTTGCGCTAAATGAATGCGACTGGCGACCGGCTTCTAATCCGGTAGTCTCAACAAGACCGGCCATCTACATTTGTTCGCCACCGATTGGGTCCACGATGTCTGCGAGTCGGCATGCGTCTGCAGAATGTCTCGAAAGGTCAGAATATCACCGTTCCAGGCGGACTGTCGATCTGCGCGCTCCGATCTGCTTTTTCCTTACTCTTCTCCTTCCTAGCTTTGTGGGGAGTACCCCCTGGCTACCAGCTCACATCCCGCTGCCGTGCACGGTCCCACTCGCCATCTTTGCGAATGCGCCTTTTCTACGGGACATGCCTGTACAAGGACAACCATGGAACATAACGTGCTGCCTCCCTGGCCCCCCCCGGGCACCGCAGATGGGCATGGACACACGGTCGAAATAATCATGACGATCATCGTTTGCTGCCATCACGCGCCTGCCCCCATTCAACGCCAGCCGCACCCATTTATTTGTTCCCATCTTTCTCTCACGTGTGCATGGACATGACCGCATCTCCACATCTGCAATGCCACGCACTCGCATGATGTCTCGCTGCTTCTCTTTCTCCCTCTCTCTCTCTCTCCGTTTCTCTCTCTCTCTCTCTCTTTCTCGCTACCTATCTTCCCCCCCGCACACACACACATACACACACACACGTGTCCTAAACTACAACCGCACGCGCTTGAGTCCAGCAGCTTTTTCGCGCAGACTCTTCACTTCCTGCTGACTGCCAACATGAAACTGCGTAGTACTAAGCCGTCGGAAGAAACCACAAAGACTCCGACCAGCTCCAACGGTGTCCCACCTACACCCGCTTGCCGAGACGTCTCTAGAAAACGCTCAAGTGGCTCGACATGGGGGACAATCACGCCTGGCGTGTGAGATATGGGAGGGCCCTGGGCGGCACCAGAATGGCCCCAGGACGGATAAAGGTTGGCTCCAGACCGTCGAACTGCTGTCCAAGACGGTGGGCGACGGCTCCACAAAATGTTTGTTGCCGCCGCGACCGCAGGAACTTGATGACCCATCGCGGCCACAAGGGCGAATCTAAAGGTCGCCAAGCAAACGTGGCTTCACAGCGATGGCCGCCGCAGGCCGTCTCAAATCGCCCGTGATGGCTCTAAAGCAGCTCCGTCGAAATCGAAGAGACCTCAAGACTCTTCGAATATGGCTCAAGACGCCTCAAGAGGGCTGCAAGAGGACTCCCAAGGGGCACCCAAGAGGCAGTATGCTTCCAGCACCCAAGAAGGTTTTGTGTGACTTGGGCATGCTCGCCTCAAGGCGGGCAAGGAGGCTCCCAATATGGATGTGAGACAACCCCAAACTGGTCCAACAAATAAGGGCCCAAGGGGGACCCAAGGCAGTTCACGTGGGCCTCGAGCTGCTCCAAGAGGGCACCTTGAGGGGCACAAGATGGCCCAGGAGGGCCCCAAGACGGGCCCATTGCGCTCCAAGACGGTCTCAATCCAATCCAAGGCAACCCAGAGAAATCTCGCTGGGCTCTTTCTGGGACCTCTGCGGTCCTCTTCCAGCCCTCTGGGGCTGTGCTTGGGGCCGCTTGGGGGCCTTAAGGGGGCCTCTTGGGCTCTGATCGGGATCTCTTGACTGTCTTGGGTCGTCTTGGGATTATCTTGGACTTGAACTCCGCCAGAGGCCCTCTTGGGCCCGCTTGTAGCTCTCGGTAGCTCTCGCGAAGTCACGCTGAGCCAAGGGAGCGAGTCAAACAAATAAGTTGAACACACGTTATGGCTTGAGTATTTGGGCTGTCAGGAGGCGTCTTGGCACCCCTTTGATCCTCTTCTTGGAGGTTTCCTGGCGCGGAACATTTTTAGCTGCAAAGCCTTCGTAATCCTGGGGCCCGCACCTCCAGGGTCTGTCAACGAACGCAGTGCCCTCTTGCGCTTGGGGGGGGGGGGCGTCGGCATGCTTGAAAAACTCGCTGTGTTTACACAGGGCCTCTGAAGACATCTTGTAACAAACCTCTGGGGTCTGGGGGAGATCCTTCGCTTCCTGGTCGGCGAGGAGGACTGCTACAAGCGCGGCTGATGGGTGCGGCCCGTCGAGTGGATGCTCGACTCTGGCTGGCTGAGCTGCCCTCTATCCGCCCAGTCCTTCCCCCTTGCCAGATCCTCAATCCCCTGGAACCGGAACTCCTCGGCGCTCTCTGGGCTGAGGGAAGCTCCGTGGAGAAAATGCGCAGGGTAACGTTTGAGAACATTGAACGAGAGGTGGTCTCTCAGCAATCTCCTGCTGGCAAAAGAAACTGAACATGCCGTGCACGTGGCCCCCTCCCCCATGTAGCGCGATGCGATATTTCCATGGTTGTGGGCTGTAGCGTGCGCGTGCAATGTGCTGTCTGGGACTCTTTCTGGATGTGCCCTGATGCCCGCGCCGCATGCACCGTAGTTCTGGAATCGGATCAGGGGTCGGAAGTACTGGGCGCCCTGGGTCGGCGATGGAGGCAGGGGCTCTAGCTGGCCGTGCCATGTCGAAAAACTGGCAATAATCGCGCTTGGCCGCGGCTGCTCGCCCCATTGCCTTCGCCCCCCGCTCTCGCGGCGAAGTTGGGCCCGCGTCTCCAGGCAAGCAGCGGGCGCAAGATGCGTCGTTCCCCCTTTGGAAATCCCCCCGTGGATCCAGCGTCCGCTTGAAAACCGCACGCGCACTGCGCAGCCATGTCAAGTCACCCATGACGATGCGCCGCGCCGTGTAGCTGCGGCATGACGCGCACGCGCGACAAACGCTGCGCGGCGCGGGCGCGCCGCGGTGCAAGAGCCCACCGATCTACCGAAGAGAGGGCGGGCGAGGATAAGGATGAAGACGGGACAAGACAGGACATCCGCAAACATGGGTCAACGTCAACGCCCACAACGGTGCCGCGCGCGCGACCGGCAACGCCCCCTGCGATGGGGCTGCGCCGCAGCCCAGACGTTTAGGGCCGGCAGGGGTCATGCCCCGAAGCTTCAAGGAGCGAGCTCCGAAGTGGCCCCGTAAGAAAGGCCCAATACCTTCTGAGTGCGAGTCCCCGCTGGTCAGCGCGGGGGGGGCGGCTGCGGCCCGCTCGCACGCCCGCGACGCCGGGCGCGCGCTGGGCGAGCAGGGCCCCCGAGCGAGGGGGGGGAACGACGACGCGACCAAGCAAAAAGGAGAAGAGGAGGGAAAGCGGGAGGCCCCTGCGTTCCAAACTTTGCTGCGGGGGGGGGGGCTCATGGCGCCCTGCCTGCGGCCAGCTGATTTTCTGCCTGCCCCAGTCTCTCCTCTCTTTCTAGGCTCAGTCCCCCCCCTGGGCGCGCCGGCCGCGGTTGTCTGAATGTCCCATCTTCACCCCCTGTAGTAGCGCGCCTGTCGGCGCTCCAGAAAATCACTTGCCAAGACGCTGTGAGCGCAAGCTCTCTCCGAAGGGCCCTCGCGCCGAGATGTCCCCGCTAGCGATGGCCCCTCTGAGTCTGCCCGCCCTGCCTGCCTAGAGTCGCACTCCGAGATATCCTCGCCAATGCACCCCTTGGCGTTGCAGGTGGGCTCTCTCGCGCACGGCCGCTGGAGCTGGCCGCCTCCCCCGAGTTGGCGTGCTTCGCGAAGATCTCGGCGCCGCCCGGCAGGGTCGTCGTACTGTCTCGGGGCAGCTGGCGTTTTTGTTGGTTTCGGCCTACCTTCGCCGGGTCGAGAGTCGTCTCGTTCTTCATCTCCATCGCGCCCACTCCCGCGACGCTGCACAGGCCCCCCTCGTCGTTCCTCGAGATCTTCTGCGTCAGCTCGAACCAGCTTCGCGTGGAGCAGGACCTCCCCCCTGCTTCTCCCACGCGCCCACTGGGCGTCTTGTGATCAGCGCGCAGTCCTCGACCTGGTGCGTCGTCGGGAAGGACGGTGGGATCAGCTCGAACAGCTCCTCAGGGCTCATCTTCTGGGGGCCCGCGTAGAACTTGCAGCGACTTCCCATGCTGGCGTCGTCGAGCTTCGGCGGCCTGTTCGCTACGAGCGCCCCCCCCTTCTCCCCGACCTTGAGCGCGGCTCTCCGGCGTCGCCGCCAGCTGCTTCCAGCCCGCCGCGCGCCGGAACTTCCACCGCCCCCCCCTCGAATTGGGGCCCGGGCCTTTCCACCGCAGCTTGTTAGGTGAGGTCAGTCCGCGCGAGCAGGCGCAGCCCTTCTACTCGCCCCATCCTGCGCCCCTCCTGCGCACGTTGAATCGCTTCGTGTTGTCGCTCCACTTGCCCGCGAAGTCCAGCGCCTTGGGGTGCTTTGTCTTTTTCTCCTCCTTGACCCTCGCTGTCTTGTAGTCGCTCATCCTGTGCAGCTCCCTCTTCTTCTCTTCCAGTTCCTTCTTGGCCGCGTCCAGCGCTTCTACGTCATTTACTTCCATGGCCAAGTACTTCTTCAGCAGAATGTCGTACTCTTCTGCGCACCGTAAGGCAGACGCCATGTCTTCTCCCGCTTTGCCGAAGGCTGCGAAGATGTCCCCGTTCATTTTGATGCCTTCCAGCAATGCTTTTGTCGTCTGCCTGGGCCTCTCGATGACCATCTTGTTCTTCTGGTTGCGATGCATTTTCCCGGGCCCCCCCTCGGCTTCTACGATCGCCATCACTGCCTGGGTCTGCCCCCAGGACTGAACTGACCGCGCGGCGCCTTTAGCTTGCCTCTCTGTTTTCGGCATACTTGCTCCATCGTGATGCACTGGTCTCCTCCGCGTAGAATCCCCTCCCCGTCGCCCCCCTCAGTCCACTCCTCCTGCCCGGGCGCGAGCTCGCAGTCGATGCGCTCGCTCTTGTATTGACTGCCTTTGCCTCCTCGAAGCGTTTCATGTCCTGGCTTTGGCGCGCCCCCAGTGGCTCTCGATCGTCTGGCAATGCCCGAACCCAATTGCCGCAGCGGCCGCGCGGCCATAGCTTGTCGCTGCTGGCGAAGGCCATGGGCAGCCCCCAGCGCCCTGCACTCCGAGATATCCCCACTAGAGCGCGACGCTTGCGCATCTAGACCGTCGCTGAGCCAGATGGGCAGCGGGGGCCGCAGGTGGTCGATGGAGGCCGATGCGTTGTGTCCAGTGGCCCCCAAGGCAACGCATCACACTCTGGATTATGGCCCAACTCCCCCCCCCCCCCCCCCTGTCCGCGACCCATCGCTGCATTGCGCGTGCGATGACTGCGCGGCACGCAAAATCCCCCGCGCACCGTCTCTCCGTAACTGTTATGGGGCAAGGGGAATAAATAGATATCGCGTCGTCACAGATGAACACGTCGGCCACTGACAGGGACGGGAGGTCCGGTTGCTGCCTGGGAGGCCTCTTCCCAACGCGCTTCTCTGCAGCGCCGCTTCCCGCTCTGCTCGAAACTGTAGTGAGGCAAGTTCGTATATCTTACCCCCATGGGGCAAAGCGCCCAAGCTTGGTGGGGCGCTCATCGCCCCCGCCGATTGACCCCGCTATCTTTGCATCGTCTGAAACATGTCGCACCGCTTCGCTCGTCCGCCGTTGGGCGCCCCCGCTATG